TTAGGTCTTTGGAGGTATGAGTTTTCTGCTATATCAAGGTAGTAATCCCTCAGGAGGGTGTGTATATACAAAATACACACACTCACACAAAATGTTATTTGAAGGTTGTGAGCCAAGCAGTTGGGGAAGGGCTAAGGGATTATGTGTTGATTATTCTCCAGATGGAGGAAGCATCTCTTATAATTGGTCAAATGGTGAACAAGGCCAATTAATTTTCACACTTATGGCCTTTTGCACCTGTGGCTTCATTTGTTTTACAGCAAAATATTCAGAAGGACTTGTCTAGGCTTAAGGCAGAAGAGATCTTGTATGAATGTCTGGTAGTAACAATATGATAGTAGTCAAAATCACATTTTTTAGCTTTTCCTATCAGATAAGAATAAATTGTAGCATAAATATTTTGAAAAGATCTAGACAGACAAAGCAATATAGATAGTCCTCAACTTACAATCATTCCATTAATAACCGTTCGAAATTACAGTAGCACTGAAAAAAGTGACTTACAAACATTCCCCTTACAACTTACAACTGTCACACAGTGCCACAATTCCCACAATCATGTGATCAAAATTTGGGTGCTTGGTCACTGACATATAGTTATGATGCTTGCAGAATTTCAGGGACATGTGATTGCCATTTGAGAAACTCCCAGCAGGCTTCCAACAAGCAGAGACAACAGGAGAAGCCATATTCGCTTAACAACTGCATTGCTCACTCAGCCACTGCAGTGGTTCTCTTAATAACCACGGTTGTAAAATTAAGCATGACTCATTTAAAAACTGTCTTGCTTAGCAATGGAAAGTCTGGTCTCAGTTGCAGTTCTAAGTTGAGGATTACCTATACTATAAACAAATCCAAATCAAATCTGTGGGAACTGGATGGATTTTGATGATGCTGTGTAATCCTGGACACATAAGTAGCTTTGAAAAGACACTTCCCTTTCATCACCCTGTAATCAGGGGGGAAATCCAGTTTTTGTTTTGCACAGCCTTAGCTTGTTCTTGTCAAATTACAAATGTTATAATTTCTTAAATTACTGCCTACAGAACTTATTAAATTCTGGGATGAAAATTAATGGGGGAGCTATATAGTTCTGATCTGTATATCACACTAAGACAAAGTTTATTTTGCAGTTTGTTTTGCATTCAGCATATTAATTTTAATTTGCATAACTCTACAATAAATAAATAAAACTTCTGGCAGTCCCATAGAGAAACAAATATGAACTTTCAAGGGCATAAACAATAACTCCTCAACCGCTGGATTTTTTTTCTCTTTTTAATCTTTCACTTTCTAATCATCGTCATACACACTATAAACAACAAGCACAAGAAAACTGGAATTGTTTTGGAACTATCTCCAACAATCACGATCACATCAAGATTATGGTAAGTGCTAGTACGAACTAAATTATTGTGAGGGCTATAAATGCTAAACACCCCAAAGAATGTCTTCTCTGTGTCAGAAAGGACTTGTGCAGCACCCTCCAGCTGCCGGCTTAGGTGTTTCAAGCCACTCTCAGAATGTTTGACTTTTGAACTGTAGGCTTATCCTTAATAGGGGTGGTTTGGGTCTCTCTGCCTTGGCACAGGCATCAGCTCACATTTCACAGCTGCATTCTTGTCTGTGAAGCTTTAACACCAGCTTGTGAATATCTTTGGCACAGTACATACAGACAGAACAGAGTCCAAGGGACATCCTTCTGACTTGTGCTAAGAGCTATTGATATATTCTTCCTGGTTTGCTCTTCCATGTTCCAACACATTCAGAAAACGTTTAGTAAACTGAGCAGATATATATATATACACATACATACATACACACGCACACGCACACGCACACACACACTAAATATACTAAACTCTTGTGGATTATTGGAACATGGAAGAGGCAAGCCAGCGTTCCCCTGCTTCCTTATGGAAGCTCTTTTATAATATTGGCTATATTTTAAATCACAGGGAGTAGGGCATAGGAAGAATAAAAACAGATACATTAGGAAAGAAGAAATTACTAGTCAGCATTTGCAAGCTTGTTAACCCCAAAAGATGTCTCAATAAAAATCTTCTTACATAGTAACTGAATAAATAGAGTACAGGTAGATTTCAACTTACAACCATTTGTTCAGTGACGATTCAGAGTTATAATGGACTGCAACAAGTGACCTATGACCATTTTTCAAACTTACAACTGTTGCAGCATCCCCGTGGTCACATGATCAAAATTCAGACATTTGGCAACTAGCTCCTATTTATGACAGTTGCAGTGTCCCAGGGTCTAGCGATCACCTTTTGTGACCTTCTGACAAGCTTCAACGATAAAGCCAGATTCACTTAACAACCACGTTACTAACTTAACAACTGCAGTGGATTCACTTAACAAGTGGCAAGATAGGTTGTAAAATGGGACAAAACTCACTTAACAACTGTCTTAACGAAGGAAATTTTGGGCTGAATTGTGATCATCAGTTGAGGCCTACGTGTACCAGATGCACTGTAGCATCTGATATGTATTTCTTATTTTAGGAGGAATGAAGAGACTTAGTGACCGTGGTGTATTTATTTCAGTCTACTTAATCCCTGATTGAGTTGGGTTTTAAACCTGGTCTGTATATGCCAAGACAAATGTAAGCTCCCCTGGACTGAATTATTCATCAGTTCAGTGGGGCATCTGTTGGCAGCAAGATTATACATGAAGCTTTTGAGGAGGAAGTTGTGTACCAAGAAAAGGAGATTTGTAAATTAATTTTAAATTATGTATTCTTATTGTCTTGTTGAAATCTTGGCGATGAATCGCTATAAATTCAACAGGATTACGTAGTTACTTAGTTATCATCTTGCTCTGGAAATAACATTCTTAACTGTCGTGGCTTATAGTTATTAATATACTCCCTTAGCTATCATTTATCTTGTTAACAGCCATTATATAAGCATGTGATCATACTGTATAACGTTCTCATTAGGCGAGAACCACTATACTGAACTCACCACTGGAAGTTAGTGGTAATTGGCCATTAAAGCTGTATGCTGGCAATTTATTTTTTAAAGGAAGTTTATATTGTTTTTTTTAGTTAGTATTACTTTTAAATTAATGAAATACAACTGGATATTGGACTTGGGGAGACTCATGTTCCAGCGTCATTTGACCATGGAGTTCATTGGTGACTTTGGGTTAGTGACTCTGTGTGTGTCTGTTTGTGTGTATGTCTGTTTGCAAAGAGTCCTTTGTTGCTTGCTTGGTTATGGATAATACTAGCTTTCATGACTGTGTATTATAATATAAATGTAATTGTTTTAATCTGATGGCTTCAATGCTTAATTCTTCCAGGATTAGTCCTACACTCTGCTGGAATTTTTATAGGTACTTTACAATAGCATAGTTCTGGTGGAATGGCAATAATTACTCCTATTTATTCATAATTAACTGGTTAATCATAATAAACTATTATGGATGTTGTGAATTAGACTGAATTTTCTTGACAACCAACCACTCCTATATCTTAAGCATCATTTTACTTTAGAAATCTTTTAATTTTTTGCATTAATGAAAAGAGAAAAAATAATGCACATCCCTCAGTGAAGAAGCTACAAAGAATTCCAATTCTTTATAACAAAATGCTAGCCTCTAATATATTAGTGATTTCATACTATTATATACTATTACCACAAAGCTTCTGCTTACTATTAATATAAATGCAAGTTGCATTTCCGTTACTCTCATTAAGTGTCAGTTATGCCCCTTAACTATATAGGTTTGTAAATTCTTATAGTAGGTGGTTGCTATTTTTCTCCTTTGTCAACCAAGTAAACATTGCTATGTTTTGCTTCTTTGCAGGAACTGAGCCAATCTAGAACAGAGAGATTTCCTTGAGAATTTTAATTACTATTGATGAATTTCCTCTCTCTGAGTTAATATGCAGTGCTAGTGATCATAATTTTACCTTTCCTGCATTATGTCACAAACACAAAACTTGTTTCCTACTTTGCGCACTACATTTTCTAAAATAGGTTTTGCATTAAATCCTATTTGATAATAATAGAGAAAGGTATAGAGCCAGTATGACTTAAGGGATTGGACAGACGGCAAGGAGACTCAGGTTCTAGTCCATTCTCAATGTGTATGAATTCCCTGGATTGGTTTGGGCCAGTTATTCTGTCTCAGCCAACCTACCTCATGAAGTTGTAATTGTGGGGATAACAAGGAGCCCTGTGATGCAGTGGTTAAGTGCAGTATTGAAGGCAAATTCTGCCCACAGACAGGAGTTTGATCTTGTCTGGTCTCAAGGTTGACTTAGCCTCCCATTTTCCCAAGTTCAGTAAAATGAGGACCCAGCTAGTTGGGAGCAATATGGATATAATCAATGGTGGGATTCAAATGTGTGAACAACCAGTTCTCTGTGTGGATGCTGCTTCTGGAAGTCCATTCTGGGCCTGGGCAACAAAAAATTAGCTACCGGTTCTACTGAACTGGTGCAAATTGGCTGAATCCCACCACTGGATGTAATGATTACATTGTAAACTACCCAGAGTAGGGCAGTGTATAAGTCTAAATGCTATTGCTATTGCTGTGATCCTGATGTAAGCTGCTTCAGTTCTTGATGAAGGGTGAAATACAAGCTTGGCTGATAAACAGGCAAACCAGTGTTTCTCAACTTTGGCAACTTTAAGATATGTGAATGTCAACTCCCAGAATTCCCCAACCAGCAAGATACAGAGAAAAACTTCAGTTCCACTTCTGCCTTTTTATTTCAATTCTCTCCAAATATGAGGAATTTAGTCAGTCTCACTGATATGTATTGTCAATGCATTGATTTTATGGGAAAACATATTTTTTGAAAACATAGAGGAAATTAAACTCAGCTCTATGAAGCTCACTGGAAGATATGGACATTAATGATCAGGGCTAATATACATTGTCACAGGAAAAAACTGGTTAGATGATTGCTGGATGTTAGTATTGTACAGCTGCCATTTTTATAAAAAAAATTCTCTCTTCTGTTTCAGAATTCTTTAAAGAAAAGGGGATCACGTTCTCTAGGGAAGACAGACAAAAAATCATCTGTCCAGGTACAACAATTTCAATAATTGGTATGCTATTGCAATAAAATTTCCAGTGAATGCTTAACTTCAAATTCTTTATCTTTTCAAAAAATCCAGATAGCTTTTTTGTTTGTATTTTAGGATGTCATTCTAATATACTTTTTTCATCTTTATCTTGCATTTCAATGACAAAGTAACGTATTTTGCATGCAGAAAGGTCCCATTTTTAATCACTGGCATTTCAAGTAAATCTCCCCTTCTGATAAGCAGAGTCTAGAAAATTTGTTGACTTAATGCAACAAATATTTAGAGTGGAAATTCATTAAATGCCAACTTATCTGTTGTTGCAAACCAAAAAGTATATGTTATAGGGCTCTTGCATAATGTATATTTACTAATACCCTAATATGACCGCTTCAACATGCACTATTTATCAACTGCAACATGCCCTGTAAATAATTTTCACTTGCTAACAAGTGACATGACTATCACCTATATGTTGTTGATATAGCTGATACTAGGTTGCAAAGGAACAAAGCTTATGTTGCAACTATGGGGCAATAATACTTTTTGCTTTTCTTTCATTGCTATTTAAAACCAGGCCAACCACATCTTTTAATAGAATGTAGGTTTGATGTTCTTAGTGTTAATGTTTACATGCTCTGCATGGCATTGATGAACCCTGAATAGGTCTCTAATATCAGGAATATATTGTTCAAATCCTTCATGAATAATTGTATCACCAGAAAGATGCAGTGATGCAAAGGAGATAGCTTGATGGCAGACGAGAGAGAGAGAGAGAGAGAGAGAGAGAGAGAGAGAGAGAGAGAGAGAGAGGGGGGGGGGGGGAGGGAGAGAGAGAGAGAACACGAACAGATTCCAGTCCATTGCATTGAGTGGACTAATTTTTAAATTGAGTTTATACTCTCTCCCTAAGGCTGGAATTGATGTTTTATTCTGGTTGCAATCCTTTGTTTGATCAATAGCTGGAAAAACATAGATGTGTTTGTTGAAACTGAGATATCTTCATGATTTAGGGCAGTTATGTAATTTTGCATTATAACCATGTGTTGACCAGAGAACCTGAAAGGACAGATATGAAATAGTTTTCAGGCTGGAATAAACTGGGATAGCAGTAGTTTTAGAACAAACTATATTGTTCTTCAGTTACCAAGATTATGCTAACGAGACTGAAATTCTGTTTGGCATTCCCAATGTTCTCACTCTGTCAGTTTATATTGTTGGTCTATTGAATGTTAAATGAAATGAAAACAACCCTTTTAGGAAAATACAAGAATCTTTGGTGAAAGAGTTCTTGATTCTCATCTACATGATTGGTAACTTTTAGGTAATGGTTTAGATAGAAGGTATCATCCATGGATAATACAGCTAAACCTGACCAGTCCTTTCTTATAGTCAGAAAGGTAGATTCTCTTCTCCTTTTCAACATCTACATGAGGTCATCACATGGGGTAAGATATCATTACTATGCTTATGGTGGCCAATTATATATTTCTAATTCTGGTTAATTAAACAATGTCATGAACATCTTAGCTTAGTGCCTGGAGGCTTTAAATGTCTGGATGGGAAAAAACAATTTCAGCTGAACTCTCACAAGATTAACTAGCTTTGTGTTTGGGAACCTGCTGATTCCAGGACTATACAATTTTTGGTGCTGGATGGGGTTGTATGACTTCAGGCAGACCCAGTACACAGGTCCTCCTAGATTTATGACTCTTGTCCCATGAGCAGGGGGAAGCTATGGCTAGGAGGGCCTTTGCATAGCTTTGTCTTGTATGCTAATTGTGCCTGTTCCTGGGTTGGTAGTCCCTGCTTATAGTCACTTATGTTCTAGTCACCTCCAGACTGATTACTGCAATGTGCTCTACATGGGGCTTCCCTTGAACAATATTTGGAAGTTCCATACAATGTAGCTGCCAAAGATCGCACCATTTAAATTTGACACATTCAATTTTTTTCTTAGCAAGGAGCATGTTAACATCTATATTATATTTTAACATTCTCAAACCCCAAAATCGATGGGGAAAAATAACTCCAAACCTCTTCCCAGTTAATGTTATGTCATCAGAGTATCAATTATGCTCCCCAGAGGTCAAACATGAAAAATATCAAACTGTATTTCCCCAGTGGGGGAAAAAAAAGCCAATTCCCCTGATTAACTCCATTACATTAGCCTAATTCCTAAAGGTAGCTCGATGTTTCATTTCAGTATTAAAGACTCCATTGGAATTGGTAGCTAATAGAATTCAAATAAATAAATGAATAACAACAAACTGAGGAAAGTAGCTTTGTATCTTTTTGCTGAGGTCTCTTGATATTTGAACATTTTAAAAGAGATATCCAGCATTTGAACAATCAGGACCCAGAAGCAAAGATCTGACATGGAGGCATTTATTGAACACAGTTTGTAGGATATGCTCATAATTCCAAGGAAACATAACTAATGACTTGCCTCAAAGGATAAAAGGAAGAGTTTTTTGATCTTTAGTGAGTTTCTATTCCCCCCCCCCCATTTATGCTATGTTTCAATCTGGTGCAATAGAATTTTTGTAATGATAATGCAACAATGCAGTACATTTTAAGACTTGAATAATAGTTGCTTTTTTTCAATTCTGGCTGATGCAACATTAAGCTGTCAGTTGTAGCTGAATGCTCATAGTGTATTGGACATCTGGAAAGAAGGTTTGAGTGCTTACTGGAGACATTCTTCTCTTCTGAGGGTTTTCTTAGAGCTTTTATTCCATGAGTTATATAAGCAGGAAATGAACTAATTTTATAACGGTCTAACGGTCACTTTTAATGAGACAATGTTCCTCAAGGGAAAATGAAAATGTTATCCAAGAGGAACTGATCTCGTTTAGGTTATATGATAACTTCAAGTTCTCAAGCACCAACCCCAACTTTGGCTTCTCAGTATAATATCAATATAAATGTAATCAGTTATAGTATGTCAATCTTAATCTTATTGCCATGAAAGATCAATAGCCTTTCTAATATACAGTGATTTGTTAAAAGTACCATTTTCATTTGGTAATGCTTGCATCATTTTTTTTTTTTAATCCTAGGAAGACAGTGCAGATCTCAAATGTCAACTGCATTTTGCTAAGGAGGAATCTGCTCTAATGTGTAAAAAACTAACCAAGTTAGCCAAAGAGAATGACAGTATGAAGGATGAGCTGACAAAATACCAGTCCTTGTATGGGGACCTGGAAAGCTCTCTCTCCATAGAAGAGCTGGCTGATTCACCTTACTCCAGAGAAGCTGAGCTAAAGGTCCATTTGAAACTTGTTGAAGAAGAAGCCAATATTCTGAGCCGCAGAATAGTAGAGCTTGAGGTTGAAAATCGAGGACTGAGGGCAGAGATGGATGACATGAAGGGGCAGGGAGATAAAGACCTTTTGGGACAAGATATCCAGTTGGCTTTCTCCATGGCAAACAATGGAGATTCTGGGGAGAGTGTGACAGAACTCAGGCGGCACTTGCAGTTTGTGGAAGAAGAGGCAGACCTGTTGAGACGTTCATTGATGGAGCTGGAGGAACAGAATAAGCTCCTCATGAATGAGCTCAATAAGTACAAGTCAGATCATGATCTGGATATTACTTTATCTGAGGACAGCTGTTCTGTGATCAGCGAGACTTCTCAAGAAGAACTGGCCACTGCCAAGGTCCAAATCAGTGAGCTTAGTGGCAAAGTTAAGAAGTTACAGTATGAGAACCGTGTGCTACTCTCCAACTTGCAACGATGTGACCTTGCCTCTTGCCATACCACCCGACCCATGCTGGAGACAGATGCTGAGGCTGGTGATTCTGCCTTGTGCATCCCAACCTCGCTTTGGAAAGAAATTCCTATTGGGGGAGAAAATGATGCAAAGGAGAAAGTACCTAGCAATGGCTTCAGCAAAACTCATGAAAGCAGCCCCAACCAGCTTTCCAAATTTAAAGACTTTGAGACCCTCCTTGACATCAGAGATCAGGCTGCTCTTGTCAGCAAAGCTATTGATGTCCTGATTTCTGATGCCAATGGCTTTACCTCTAGCCTCAAACTTTGCATGGACAATGACTGTGCACAGCTAGTTTTGAGTGAGGCAATGGACAATGAGAATACTACGGACTCTAAGCTGATCAATGCTATTTTGATGCGGCTTGGAGTCCTGCAACAGGAACTAAACACCTTTATGAAAAAAGTAGACGGTATTGGTGGCTGCTTGAAAGATCAGCAGGATTCCCTACCAGGTTCCAGCTCCCAGGATTCCACCAAAGAAGCTCTACGAAAAAGTCATGGTGCTGAATTCCAGGTGAGGGTTTCTCTGAGTTGTTGACAGTGACTCCCTTGCAGATATTATTGCTTTATTTGCTGTACAGTACTGTTTTTCTTGCCTTAACCAATCAGAACCTGACCCTGTTAATGTAACTTCCTTTTTCTACTTTCTCAGAGTGAAATGACAAACTAACAACTAGTTCACTGCATGGAACTGAGGCCACTAACAAGATAGGACTCTGGTTTAGCAGAGTGTGCATGGAACAGGAGTTTGCCTAGACAGATGCATAATATATTGTAACCCCAACCCAAATCTATTTCATATGTAGGGCAGAAAAATGAAATTATTGCCCTGCCAGAAGGGGATTATATTACAAGATAATCAAGACCATTTCAAATCATTTCCACATATTGATAGATTGGCCCTGACATAGTACCCATTTTAAAGTAATTTTCCAAAGTCAATTCAGTAAGAGAAAACATTAGCTTTCAAGGTTTTTGTTTGACACAGTAATTTTGGAGATGTTTACTGTGATACCTTTGCCATATGGTAAATATAATTTGAGTATTTGTCAAATGCATGCACTTTCCCTGTTTAGAATGGAGGGATGAAAGTACGCTTGAAACTGTACCCTTGCAGAAAAACTTTGTCTTTGTCTTGGCTAAGATAATAACCTACTTAGGAATATTCAGTCTTGCAGACCGGACCCTGATGTAGCAAGAGAAAATGTAGTGACCCAAGCTGGATATGAAATGCCTTGGGTCTTGTGGGAAATGGTTTGGGAGAATGGCTGAATCGCAACCTCCTGAAGCACACTCCAAAATTTCAGAGTTTTATTTTTGTGCATGCACTGGCCCCCTCCGTTATTCCAGCTAGCAACACCCTCACCCCTAGCACTGCATGGCACCATAACTGGTGTTTGCACATTTTTTCCCTCTCTCTCTCTTTCCCCTTCCCCAAACAATCCAGCCCACGTGTCTCCTCATTTTGTGTCTCCTTTTATTTTCCACTTTATCTTTTGCCACAGTAGTGAAGCTCCTCTTCCTCTTCATCCTTTTTGTTGTCTTGTAGCTCTCTTTATTGTTCCTGAGACCCATTTGTTTTGTTTTTTTCTTTCTTTTCTTTTCTATTCTTTTGGTTTGTTCTCATTAACTTGCCCATGCATGCAGCAGTCTGACTTTAGGGAGGCCCCAGACTGGGATGTCGGGGAGAGCAGGCCCTCTGATCTATATCGCAGCAACAGCAGCAGCAGCACTGCCACCATCAATTCAGAAGCCAGCATGGGACATGACCGGAGCTACAAGTCATACCAACGAGAAGAGAAGGATTCTTACATGTCTGAGGTATGTGCTGATGTTCCTAAAGGAAGAGAGAAGTGCTGGCTGGGGATTCTGTGAAGAGTTACTTGGCTGGAAAAGTATTACTTAATTATATATAAGAGGGAAAAAAATAAAGGCAAGGTTCCCATTCATCCACCTTTCCATTTTCAGTTCTGCTAAATCTTTGGGAAGAGCCAAATTGGAATATGTAGATACTTACATGTCAGAGTAATCAGCAGTATGTTAAGTTGAATACATAGATAATAAAAAAATGGTGTTCATCTGGTGTTCATCCTACTTGATGGGTTGCAGCACTGCGTTGGCTGCAGATTATGATGTTTGAGCCAGCATAACACATTGGGAGAGCACCCTAGTGAGGAAAATTGAAGTATAAAATAGAAGGATTTGAAGGAAGATATGCTGACTTCTTGTGCAAAATTACAATTTGAAAGTTTTCAATTGCAGGATTAGAATATGCAATAAACTGAGTACATGGGGCCATTGCTGACAATTTTTCCAGGATTCTTCCTTTTATGTTACTTTCTAGAGTTCTCATATATAGTAATTGTTATATTAAAGTACACAAAGATACCTCATTGCAAAGGACAAGTCTTAGATTTGTGCACAAAGATACGTAAAATGACAAATGTTGCTCCCACTGTATCATAAACAGCTTTTTGGGGCATCTTCTCCCAAATAGGATAGAGTTATTGGGATTTGTCACAATACCTCCTCTGACTACAGTATTGGCTGTTATATTGTCCTTGCAGATCAAGGAACTGCAACTAGTTCTTTCTGAAGCTAATGAGAGTTTGAGGGGCCTACAGGAACAACTTTCCCAAGAAAGACAGCTGAGGAAAGAAGAAGCAGAGAACTTCACACAAAAAATCTGCCAGGTTAGTGGTATTTGTTTGGAGTCATCTTCTGGGATGCAAGAAGAGCTTGCAGCAACTTGTCAGAGAGTCTGGTGCAAGCTTATTCCTTATACTGCTTCAACCATTTTGCAGTTGGATGCAAGCACAAAATAATTCTGTTCTGCTTCCTCTGGTTGCCAACAAATAAGCAAATGCTTTTATTTGGCATCTCTGGATGTTGGAAATGTATTGCCATGAATCAGGTTATAGCAAGTGTACAGTGATATTTATCTACTTGGTAAATATTTGATGATTCTCGGGTGTTAACCAGAATTTGTGGAATGAACTCTGGATGCTTCCAAACAAAGTTGGACTGATGTCTGAAAGCTTTGGTTATTTATTTCCCTCAAATCAGCATTATTCTAAAAAACATTGCCCAGAACATTTTTAATAGTTGAAATTTCTCTCACTATATTTTGTTGCCATATGCTTTTAACATTTTTTGGTTTTCTATACCAAGTATTTCAAATATTTTAAAAAAGAAAACATTAGTGAAGGAGAAGAAAATATTCATCCTTCCCATATATTAGATTTTTCTTGTCTGCACTCTTGGTTCCTTTGATTCAATGTGAACTGACTTTGCTGGCACACACACACACACCCTTTGTGTAATGTTCTCAGTTTCTTCCCATGTTTCATCAGTTAAAGGATGATCACCAGAAGGCCCTCCTGAGAAGAGAATTTGAGCTGCAGAGCCTGAACCTTCAGAGGAGATTGGAGCAGAAGTTCTGGAGCCAGGAGAAGAACCTTCTGGTACAAGAATCCCAACAGTTCAAACAGAATTTCCTGCTTCTTTTTATGAAGCTCAAGTGGTTTATGAAGCATTGGAGACAGGGGAAAACCTTGCAAAATGAAGGCAGTGATTTCTTGGAGGTATAGTAATGTTTGACCATGAACTTCTATATCTGTGTAATCAAAATCTTCAACTGACATTAACAGAGATAACTGTGACATTTGCCTTGAGTGTATTCTGTTGTTTTGTTAACATCTTTTATCATCTTAGGACAAGGTTGGGGGCTATCATAGTGTAGGCTCTGTCAAACATTCAGGGAATGGACCTTTTATTCCTTTCTTCTTATCTTTTTTAAATCATTCACTCTTTGAAGGCAAGAGTTATTATCTAGCTTTTGGCATTAAATAATTTTCTCAATAGTATATCTTAGTGAAGGTCAGCAATTGAGATGCAAGGCTTAAGTCAGCTTTGTTTCATATATATTTCAAGTTAACTTTGGCTAGAACATACATTCTATTTATCCTCCTCTCTGTTCTGAAAATGGGGTATTTATGATCTTTAACACACTGCAAAACCACAACTTACTCTAGATCATCAACAAAGCTAGTAAGGAGAGATGTTACACTTCAGCATTTGGAGAGGTTATTATTCCTACCCTACTACAGGGAGAACAATCACAAGTGACATAAAAAGTACGTGAAGACTTAGATATGCATTTTTACTTCATTAAATTATGGTATGGGAATGAATCTGCAGTGAGGCTTTTTCACAAATGTGGAGAAAGCACATTGTAAGAAGAGTTGTATAGTAGCATCTCTACCCTCCTTGAAATCCTGTTACCCTCATTCTTGCCTGCCTCCATATTACTTTCAACACTGGGTGGAAAAGGAATTATTTTACCTGACTGATAAGGTTTTATTGAATTGGCTTGGCTCTGGACAAAAGGAGAGGTAAGGCCACATTAGATGAACAAAACAGTCTCTCATCATTATCAGAGCAACATATTCATGCTAATTGAAATAGAATGCATAGTTTGTGTGCAGCTGAAAAATTGCAGGCTTGGCAACAACAGCTTCTTTATATGCCAGTGTACTGTGAAGTCCCAAAGGATGATTCTTTCCAGGCAGAAATGTCTAGAAAGGTGCCTGGTACAGAAACATGAGAGAGAGGATGATACCAAACATAACTGTGATGACATGGCATGGAAACATCTCTGTGTGGCTGCTGCTTATTGTAGCATCCCACTTTGAGTTACAGGCTTGGTCTGTTGACAGTTCTTAACCTGTCACCTCTGCTTGAAGGGTCCAGTAGGCTCTGTACTAGCAGATTCTTTTCAGACAACAAAGCAGGCAATTTAGTTATGATAGGCTCCTACTCACTATTTGCTCTTTTTAGGTGAATAGCATGAAAGAACTATATTTGCTGATTGAAGAAGAAGAACTGAGCCCACAGCAGCAAGCAGATAATAAGACATACACTGGAGATCTTTGGTCCCAGAACATGGTAAGGTGGAATAGGAGACAAATGGAATAAAGAATCCATTCTGTATAGAATTTGTGATCATTTGCAGTCCTTCTTAAATACTTATTGTTTGGTACATCTCTGAATTAGTTGAATTTGAATGTATGAGCTGACTAAAAAAATATGCTTTCTGAAGTGACGTAACAGTTTTGTTCATGGCAGCTATACAAAACTTTCATATCATCACAAAATGTATGCTTTTTTTGACAACTTTACCCATTCAGATGTAATCATTATTAAGTTATCAAAGCAGCCTAGCCCATAATGTTCTCTTTCCATCTGAAATATGATGAAAAAATCTGCAAAAGCATTTGTGGAAAAAAAAGTTGCAGCTGAGAAGTGACACAGTGTAGGTATAATGAGAGCCTGCCTTACCCCTCTGCTGCTACTTGTTGTTTTTTTTGTCCAGAGATTCAGGAATATATAAATCTGCTTGTTTTTATCTTTCATTGTTTTCTTTCTGAACCAAAAGTTTCATTCACAATATGCATTCAATACCCAAGTATATCTACAAACTCAAAATTTAGCTTGGCAGATTAGTTTTGAATAGGTCTCAGAAAAATTCTGAAAAACTGAGATACAGTGTCCACTATGCCATTCCCATCTACTTCTATAAGTTAAAACAAGGCCTGGCAAGTTTCAGATAATTAGCCTTCTCATACTTTTTTTTGCATTTTGTATTTGAGTGTCATCATTTGATTCAGTTCAGTTTTTGGAAGCCCTTTGTGTTTTGAAAAATATATCTTCTGTTAGAAATCTTCATTTCATAAGCTACAAATTATCGCAATAAACATCTGTTTCTATGACATGCTTTGAGTGATCTCGTGTATTTCATCTTTCCTACATCTTGATTCACAACCAAATGCATAGGAGGCAGTGCATATACTGTATATGATTCAAACAATTGGAAATTAATATGTATAATAATTACATGGGATGTTGGTAACAATATGATGGTAGAGAGAGCATTATATATGGTCCATATAAAGTTGCATGCAAACGTTTAGGCACTTCTGGTTACACTGGATATTTTAGTGAACTTCTAAATCAGACATATCAAACTTGTGACATCACATGACATCACACAATGTATCAGGATGGTTTTGCCATTGCCGGCAATGGGGTGGGTGCGACTTCTGGATGACGTGTCTGGCTCACGGGCCGGCAGTTTGACACCCCTGCTCTAAATGAACATGAGTGGCTCAACCTCTATATCAGCGATGGCAAACCTTTTAGAGACCGAGTGCCCAAAAACTGGCCCCACCCCGCTCCACCCTCCTGCCCCTGCTCTGCTCCCCCATCCCCCCTGCCTGCCCACAGGACCACTCACTGCCTCCAGGGCCCGCCGCAGATTGTCCAGGCAGCCTAGCAGCGCTATGGCAGCCACACCTTCTGTCCGCGCCCTGCAGCTTCAACTGCATGATGGGGTGTGAGGGCAGAGTCTTGTCTACGCTGTCTGGCTGCCATGTCCTTGGCTGCGCTGCTCCGTATAGGCTACTCTGGGGGGCGACTGCTGGAGAGGAGGGGGTTCTGGGGGGAGGCGAGGCTGGGGTAACGGCATTTGTGCCCACAGAGAAGGCTCCGAGTGCCGCCTCTGACAACCGTGCCATAGGTTCGCCACCACTGCTCTATATAGTACAAACACAACATCTTTTCGCAAATTTGAACATATGTTATTTAAGTGCGACTGTTTTCAGATCGTACAAGAAAACAAGAGTTTGATGATGAGTATTGAAATTTTTATGGCAAGGGAAAAAATCCCATGATTTAAACATAAGCTGTTACAAGATACAAAGTAAAGAGAAGGATTGGATCTACCTGATTTTAAATTATATTTTGTATCTTGTTGGTTAGTTTGGCTGAAACAGAGGGCATTGCTGAGAAATAGAAGGCCTTTGGAATTAGAAAGACATGATCTGAGATTTGAGTGGCATGGATATTTGTGGTATAACAAAGCTAAGATTAATGTAGATTTTAAAAATCATTTTGTCAGACATGCCATATTGATATAAATACAAATCTAGGTGGTGCCCAAAACCCCTTTATGGCTTTCTACACAAGAAGCATTTTATAGATGAGAAACGATAAGTAAACACAAATAGTTAACTTATTATGAGATATTAGAATTCTTTCAAGGCGGCTGTAAAATAAAATCAAGAGGAAATTTGGTAGCAGATATATATATATATATATATATATATATGTCTTTGGTTGCTCGGGTTTTCTCCCGCATAAAATTGGAAGTGTCTTGGCGACGTTTCGACGAAGTCCCATTCGTCATCTTCAGGCTGGTGTTTTCAGCTTCGTGCTTCGAGCAGCAATGTGTGGTCTTGGCTGTTTCTTCCTTTTAACTGCCAGTGGAGGTATGAACTGATTGGGTGGGAGCTTGGCTGTGTTCTGATTGGGTGGAGGTGTGTTTTGATTGGTTAGGGGCTTGGCTGTGCTCTGATTGGCTGGGTGGTTGGCTGTGCTCTGATTGGCTGTGCTCTGATTGGCTGGGGGAGTGTTCTGTTTGGTTGTGCTCAGGTTAGTCTGAGTTGCAGAGGGATTCAAGATTTTGGGCTGCCCTGCCATTCCGTGGCTTCGTGTTCGTGGTCGTGCTTCCTCTTCATGGAGGGTGTCAGTTTGCTTCATGTATGGATTGGGGGGGTTTAAAGTGGCTAATGATGCAGCTGTGGTCTGGCTTCTGGTTTGTGGTCGTGCCTCATAGTCAGTGTGGCTTTGGGTTTGTTTTTTGCGTGGATGTTTGGTGGTGACATCCTGTGTGGTTTTTGTGAGTGTGGGTCTGGTATCATTTTTTGTGTTAGGGAGTCGTTTGTCAAAATAAAAATAAAATAAAATAAAATAAAATAAATAAAAGCCTCCCCCATTAGCGAAGAGATCCAGCAAAGAATCATTCCCAGAGAGAAATCATCCAGATGCCCCAAACTCTATGGTCTCCCCAAGATACATAAGGAAGGAACCCCACTCAGACCTATAGTCAGCTCCATAGGCTCACCTCTACAAAACCTAGCCAAATTTCTCGCCAAACAACTACAGCCCTATGCAGAATCCATCACCTCACACGTAAAAAACTCATTCCAGTTTATAGAGATCATAAAGAAACAAAACTTACAGCCCAGCGACCTACTAGTGAGCTTCGATGTCATATCCCTCTTCACCCAAGTGCCTATCAAAGAAGCCTTGACAGCTATCAAAACAAATATAACCCCCCCAAACACATCTTAGATCTGACCAACCACTGCCTATCCAACACATACTTCATCTATAATGGACAAAAATACAAACAAACAGAAGGAGCACCCATGGGATCACCCCTCTCACCTGTCATTGCCAACCTCTACATGGAACACTTTGAAACCCAAGCTCTAGAAAAATCGGATCACAAACCCAAACTCTGGCTCAGATACGTAGACGACACCTTCATAATCTGGCCACATGGGAAAGAAAAACTGGACAACTTCCTCACACACCTCAACAGCCTACACCCCAAAATACAGTTCACCATGGAAACAGAAGCTAACAACCAACTTCCCTTCCTGGATGTCTTAGTCTACAAGAAATCCAATGGCTCCCTAGGACACACCATCTACCAGAAGAAAACACACACAAACCGCTATCTGCACGCTCTCTCACACCACCACCCAGCACAGATCAACTCTGTAGCCAAGACACTCATCTCCAGAACAAAACGCTTAGCTGACGAACAACACCTAAAACCCGAACTACACACTCTCACCAATGTACTAACATCCAATGGATTCCATAGAAATAAGATTACAAACCTAATCCAAAAAGAAACCCCCACTAAAATCCAAGACAAAGAACAAGAAAACGGCAAAGCCCTCCTCCCATACATAAAAGGCACCACAGACAGAATCAGTAAGATCCTCCATAAACACAACATCAAAACAGCATTCTGCACAAACAGAAAAATATCCACCATCCTTAGAAACCCCAAAGATAAAATTGAATTAGAAAATCAAGGAGTATACGAAATCCCATGCACCACTTGTCCCACCACATACATCGGACAAACCAACAGAAGAATAAGTGCACGCATTGAAGAACATAAGAACTCAGTCAAAAAAGAGGAACCAACATCTTCCCTGGTCCAACACCTTAAAGCCACAGGACATGAAATTGACTTTAAAAATACCAGAACCATTGCCAAAAGTGAACATTTTAATAACAGAATAATCAGAGAAGCCATCGAGATAGAAAAACGCCCACACAGCATGAACAAGCGAGATGATACCTCCCGCCTACCAGCCATTTGGAAACCCGCCCTTATTGACAAACGACTCCCTAACACAAAAAATGATACCAGACCCACACTCACAAAAACCACACAGGATGTCACCACCAAACATCCACGCAAAAAACAAACCCAAAGCCACACTGACTATGAGGCACGACCACAAACCAGAAGCCAGACCACAGCTGCATCATTAGCCACTTTAAACCCCCCCAATCCATACATGAAGCAAACTGACACCCTCCATGAAGAGGAAGCACGACCACGAACGCGAAGCCAAGGAATGGCAGGGCAGCCCAAAATCTTGAATCCCTCTGCAACTCAGACTAACCTGAGCACAACCAAACAGAACACTCCCCCAGCCAATCCCCCAGCCAATCAGAGCACAGCCAACCCCCCAGCCAATCAGAGCACAGCCAAGCCCCTAACCAATCAAAACACACCTCCACCCAATCAGAACACAGCCAAGCTCCCACCCAATCAGTTCATACCTCCACTGGCAGTTAAAAGGAAGAAACAGCCAAGACCACACATTGCTGCTCGAGGCACGAAGCTGAAAACACCAGCCTGAAGATGACGAATGGGACTTCGTCGAAACGTCGCCAAGACACTTCCAATTTTACGTGGGAGAAAACCCAAAGATATATACTATCTAAATATATATATATATATATATATATTAGTCAATGGATTTCTTACATACAATTATTATAAAGATTTAAAGTAGACAAAATAATGTATGATTTTGAACAATCTAATCTGAGTCGGATACAAATACATACACTAATTTAGAGGATCTTAAAAATTAATATACAATTGAAATCAGAGACTTTTCTTTAGGGATTTTGATGAACAAACAGCTGGAACAAAGTCACAGAAGTTTGTTTTTTATATATAACTGCATCAAATTTACTATATGTAAAAAAGTGGAAAGATTCAGTGCTACCCAAAATGGAGGAATAGTTGATGAAGATGATGGAACATGCAGAGATGGCTAATCTGATGTCCTTAATTAGAGAGAGCGAATATCTATATTTATTAGTGATGGGAAATCTCTTATAGATTTTTTTGTGTAAAACAGAAAAAAGCGAATTTGCAATTTATGATTAGAAGAAATAGATAATAGGAAAAAAAGAAAGTTGTTTTCTTGTAAACATAGAAACATTTTTATTGATACTTATAATTGCTATAAAGATAATCAGAAGCAAAAAATGAAATGCTTGCATAAAGTATGATGTGCAGGCTTTCCCTATTATGTTTAAAAACTGTTTTTACATTTATAGCCCACCCTGTCTTCGAAGAATTTATAATAGTAAAAAGTGTCTCTTTCCCTGAATAGTAAATTTTTGAGGTACATTAGTTGAGAGGGAATGATATAGTCAAAGCAAATTTTAATTTTGGGCACTTTAATCCTAGTCCAACAGCATAGGCATCATGCTTTTCATACCACCTTGCTTTTCAATATTGGCATGTTGAGCCTTCAAAATTCTTTCTTTTCTTTGATGTAGTTTGGTAACTTTTTATTCAATCTACTATATGAACTTCATATTTTTGTTTTTGTAATTTTTTTAGCCCAATGAATATACCAAGACCTTGTCAGATATGAAGGTGATCTTGAAGGAGCTGTGCACAGAACTACGGGAAGAGAGGAGAGGCATGAACGAACTGCAGCAACAGTTTGCCAAAGCCAAAGCCACCTGGGAGATGGAGAGAACTGAACTCAAGAGTCTTATCACTCAGGTTAGAATCCGAGAAACATGTTTAGTGCCAGATATCAAGTTGATCAAATAAAAAATAGTTTCTCCATTTAATGTAGCAACATATAGAGGGCAATAGCTGTGTTTGTAACTGCGGCAAAGAAGATTGAAAGATGCTTCTTTAGATATCTTTTTTCTTGCTTTTTTGTTAGTCTTTACTTTTTAATTTACTCTTTTGTAATCTTTTCCTATTCATCTATGTTTCTGTAGTTTTTAAAATCTTTGTAAAATCTTTTAATAAAAGATAAAAAATGGAACTTATGAACTGAGTTTTAACAGTAATAGTAATAGTAAAGTTGGAAGGGACCTTGGAGGTCTTCTAGTCCAACCCCCTGCTCAGGCAGGAAACCCTATACCATTTTGGACAAATGGCTGTCCAGTCTCTTCTTAAAAACCTCCAGTGTTGGAGTATTCACTGCTTCTGGAGGCAGGTTGTTCTATTGGTTAATTGTTCTAACTGTCAGGAAGTTTCTTCTTAGTTCTAGGTTGTTTCTCTCCTTCCTTAGTTTCCACCCGTTGCTTCTTGTCCTCCTTCAGGCGCCTTGGAAAATAGCTTGACACCCTCTTCTTTGTGGCAGCCCCTGAGATATTGGAACACTGCTATCATGTCCCCCCTCGTCCTTCTCTTCATTAAACTAGTCATAACCAATTCCAGCAACTGTTCCTTATATGCTTTAGCTTCCAGTCCCCTAATCATCTTTGTTGCTCTTCTCTATACTCTTTCTAGAGTCTCAACATCTTTTTTACATCGCGGTGACCAAAACTGGATGCAGTATTCCAAGTGTGGCCTTACCAAGGCATTGTAAAGTGGTATTAACACTTCACGTGATCTTGATTCTATCCCTCTGTTAATGTAGCCTAGCACTGTGTTGGCCTTTTTGGCAGCTGCAGCACACTGCTGGCTCATATTTAGGTGATTGTCCACTAGGACTCCGAGATCCCTCTCACAGTTACTACCATTGAGCAAGGTACCCCCTATATTATATCTGTGCATTTAGTTTTTCTTGCCTCAATGTAGAACCTTGCTTTTTTCACCATTGAATTTCATTTTGTTAGATAGCGCCCAGTGGTCAAGTCTGTCCAGATTCTTCTGTATCTTAAGCCTGTCTTCTGGAGTGTTGGCTATTCCTGCCAGCTTGGTATCGTCTGCAAATTTGATGAGTTCCCCATCTATCCCTCATCCAAATCGTTGATAAAGATGATGAAGAGCACTGGGCCCAGAACAGAGCCCTGGGGCACCCCACTACACACTTCCCTCCATGTAGATGCGGTTCCATTGAGGACCACACACTGAGTATGGCTGGTCAGCCAGCTACGGATCCATCTGGTGGTGATGCTGTCTACCCCACATTTTTCTATCTTGTCAAGTAGTAGGTTGTGATCTACTTTATCAAATGCCTTACTGAAGTCCAAGTAAATTGTGTCCACAGCATTCCTCTGATCCACTAATTTTGTCACTTGGTCGAAGAATGCAATAAGATTTGTCTGGCTGATCTATTTTTAACAAACCCATGTTGGCTTTTAGTAATGACTTTGTTTGCCTCTAGGTGTTCGTTGATTCATTGTTTGATTATCTTTTCCAGGATCTTCCCAGGTATTGAGGTCAGGCTGATAGATCTGTAATTTCCTGGGTCCATTTTTTTCCCTTTTTTGTAGATGGGAACTACATCAGCTCTTTTCCAGTCCTCTGGTAGTTCCCCTGTGTTCCAGGATCTTTGAAAAATATAGTTCAGTGGTTCCGAGATCACATCTGCCAGTTCCTTGAGAACCTTGGGGTGTAATCCATCTGGTCCTGGCGATTTGAACTCGTCTAGGCTGGACAGGTGCTCACTTACCATTTTCTTGCCTATCTTAACTTGTGTTTCTATTCTGTTTTTTATGGCACTATTTTTGATAGGTTGGTCTGTTTTTTCCCCTTTGTGTAAAGACAGATGCAAAAAATGAGTTAAATGGTTCTGCTTTCTCCCTGTTGCTTGTCACCTTCTTGCCACTTTCACCCACTAATGGACCAATCATTTCCTTCACTTTTTTCTTGTTTTTTTACATGTTGAAAGAAGCTTTTTTTGTTATTTTTGACTTTGGTCGCAAGCCTTAGTTCATTTTGAGCCTTGGCTTTCCTCACTTCATCTTTGGAGGCTCGGGCTATTTGCTGATATTCTGACTTAGTTATGTGCCCCTCTTTCCACTTTCTATATTTGTCCTTTTTATCTTTCAATTTGTCAGAGAGTTCTTTATACAGCCATGCTGGTTTCTTTTGAGAGCTGTTATTTTTTCTCTTTGTTGACTGGGCTTCTATTATCTCATTTTTCAAAATTTCCCAAGCTTCTTGAGTTGTTTTCCCCTTGAGGATTCTCATCCCTGGAATCCTTCCCAAGCCCTCTCTAAGTTTATTGAAATTAACTCTCTTGAAGTCCAAGGCTCTAGTTTGATAGTGTACTATTGCTTGTGCTTCCATAATGTGGAATTCCAATATTGCATGATCATTTCCTCACAGAGTTCGTATGGCTTCAACACCTTCTATCATTTCATCTCTGTTAGTGAGAATTAGATCCAAAATGGCTAATCCCCTAGTTCCCGTCTCTACTTTTTGGGAAACAAAGTTGTCTGCTAGGTTTGCCAGGAACCTGTTTGATCTTCCACTTGGTGCAGAGTTTGTCTCCCAGTTGATGTCAGGATAGTTAAAGTCCTCCGTAACTATTGTGATGTGCTTCCTACATACCTTAGTTAGCTGACTAGCAAAAAGTTCATCTATTTCCTCTGTTTGGTTGGGTGACCTGTAGTATACACCTATGGCAATGTCATTTCCCCCCCTTTTATATTGACCCATTTTATATTGACAGTGTGAATAATTTTGAGGGTCCTGGATATAAGAGTTCTAATAAGCCCTGGTTTTCTGCTGTCAAATTCCCATCTAATTGTATTGCTCTTGTTCAGGACAAGATTCAGAACAAATCTGAAACTTCTGCTATAAAAAGGAATGCAACCAAGATTCTTTGGTTAGCCACAGAGGAGGCTTAAATGCTCCTCTTTTTAAAATAATCTTTTCTGTTGAGAAAACTGGTGAGCAAAATTGTGGGTAAAATAAACTAGTAAAGCCAGAGACTGGAAAAAGTAACTTGAAATTAAAAGAGAGAACATTTAGTATATGTATACAGAGTAGACAGAGGGGACTGTTTAGATCAGGGGTCTTCAAACTTGGCCCTTTTATGACTTGTGGACTCCAACTCCCAGAATTCCTCAGCCAGCCATGCTGGCTGAGGAATTCTGGGAGTTGAAGTATACAAGTCATAAAAGAGCCAAGTTTGAAGGCCCCTCGTTTAGATTAACATAATAGGAGATGCAAGAGAAATCCTCTTTTCCACAATAGTCTTGAATAGTGGATGTGGAATTAATTGTTTGTCCCAGCCAAGCCTACTGCCTTGAGATATTACTGTCAAACCAGAAGTTGTAATCTTATTAGACAGGAAGCACAGTAAACTGAGAAAGGCTGTTATATGGTTATCTCAGCATGTGGTTTACTTTCCTAGGCATTGGGGCAAGAAACAGCATGTAATTGTTGTCAATGTACATCTTGTATATTGAAATATATGTACATATGAATTATACAATATATTTCAATATGCATAAAGCTGTGTTCTTTGGTTATTTTGAAGATATTTTTAGAAAACTTTGGTTGCTACTACAAAAGCAGTCATTATGTGCAATGCTTCTGCAAATGCTTAGCATTGTCAGTGTTTTAGCCATTGAATCTAGAAGTCTCGGCACTTACTTGAGAGGTGGCTAACTCACCTCCCTACCTATCTGCTTGCCTGATTTGTGAACATTAAAAGGCTATTCTATTGCATCAAGTGGAATATTTTCAAAAATTAAAGATATAACATCAAAGATAAAACAAACAGAATAATTGCATAAGAAAACTGCAAGGAATAATATAGATACTATAAAACATGGCTTAAAATATCAATAAAGCAACAGATAATAAAATTTAGAAGAACAACTGTAATATCAAAAGTAGAACTTCCTAATCTAATTCCTTCCACCCATCCATCCCAACATGAGGTTTTCATGATGGATAAAATTGCATTATAGTTCATATAGAAGTTGTCCAAAGTTGCTAATGAGTTGTAAAGAGGTGGGCAAATTGAAAGAACAGATTTTCTCTCATGGGTTTTGATGTAAGCACAATACCAGAGAAGAAGCAACTTCCATGAGCAGAGATTTCTTTCGCCCATTCAGTTAAGGCGAGCAAATAAAATTTTCACTAATACATTTTAGGTTAGGTTACTCACATCAGTTGAGAAATTACCCATAAGCTGTCTCTGCAGTGCCCAGATTAAAAGAATGAATTTTAGCCTGCTGTTACAGAAGACAAATAGATGCAAAAACATAACAACCTGAGAAAATCTGTGAGGGAACTTCACTTTTGGCTTTTGGAAGACTTCTCCTTTTCAAGGTTATAATGATGAGGCCCCAAGAAATGACCCACTTGTTAGTAATTTACTCTGGAGATGCCATTATTAGATTTTTCATGGATTCCCCCAGATGCCTGCTACCAATTACATACCCAGAATGGCATCTGCATTAAACTGCTATTATTCATAAATGTAACTATCTTGTCCAATTATTATCTGAATAGAATAATAATTTCCTCTTCAGCTGTCTGAACTGTCAGTTTGCAAGGGAGCCTGGGGACAAATCTTTTAGAATGAATTCACTCTTCTCTGGAGCTGCTGCAGAAGGGCAGAGCTGTGGCCTTTGCAGCTAGTATTTCACCCCTGTGTCCTTAACATCTTAGTCTCTGGTTGCACAAGTATACTATGGAAAAGAATATTTGGATTATGCTTCATTTGGAAATTCCTTATTACTACTTATTTTTGCTTGCTTAATCTCTCACAATGAGAGCAGTGGTCAGGCAAGACTCGAGTCAGACTGTTAACCTCCCCCCCCCCAAGGATTCTCCCTATTTTCAAGCTAATTTTCCTAAGCAACAAATTATTCCACAATTTTTAGTGTTAAGTGTTTAATTAGCTTCACTTCTAGCAGTTTCATCAAAGGCTGCAATCTTACTTTCATCAATGGATTTCTCTGAATTCTGGGTGACCATATCTCCATTCCATTAGGCATATGGGTTGAGGTGAACATCATGAGTTTGAGGATTTGCCTGCACCAAAAGAACTGATTGCTTTAATGAGCTCATCATTCCCAAGACTTCATCACATGCTCTGTTTAGGATTAGTATTTGCTTTAGTAGTGTCTTCCTTTCTAGTAGCCTTTCTTAATAGCTGTAGAGATTTACAGTTTGTTAGAAATATGGATTTAGGACTCAGATGGATCTATTCTAATTATTTGTTACTCATCACTTTTCATCCTGTTTTGGCAGTGGTCCTGTTATTTGTAGATTTTGCTCACAGTTTATTAAGAGTTGGAAACTAATTCCCTAATAAAACCTTTATTTCCATTTGTTACAGGAATAATGATTTTGTGTGATATCAGAATCCTGTCTCTTATCTTACTATTCTGAGATAAAGCATGTATTTTTTTTCTGCTCAATTTCCAAGAAAATCAAGCTTGTCACATGATTCCTATCAGGGCAAGGCAAGGAAGGCATTTCTGGTGTATCTTTTTTCTTTTGGTGAACAATCAGGAATTGTGAAGGAAAAAGGAGGACATGCATAAATGGACTGCTTTTACCATTCGCTTTAAACATAAGAAAACAATTCTTGTAGTCCAGTAGAATATAGGACCTATGAAATGCTTGAGTCTTACCTCATTTTGACTGACTAATCTATCTTTCTTTTCTGTTTTGGAGGAAGAACATGAAATGCTCTATCTCCCTAGATCCTAATCAGTCATTTTTGCCATAAAATCATGTAATTAATCTGTTTATATTCCTGCCTGACTTTATGGCTTCATGAAGGACAACTCCAGCTTAGTCTTCCTTTGAAATCTATAGAAAATATATGAACTTAAAAATGTGATATTGCTCTTGAAGATTGAGACTACAGGCAGGTTTTTATTTCATTCATAAATTCCCAGGAGCAAAGAAACTTTATGTTTCCCCACCATCCAGTAAGAGCTAAGAAGCTTCTTGGATGAGAAGCAAAACATCTTCAATCCCCCCCCCCAAGAAAGTCCAGTTGCCTTGTGAAAAAGCATCTTTGGGATAACTCAGAAACTTTAGAAACTTTAGAAATAACATGAAATCATATTGTCAAGAGGGGAAAAGTGATAAAGCAAATTAGCAGCATCAAATTAAATTTGGAAGAAAGAAATAAGAGAAAAGGTGGTTAAAGCAATCCTAATCATGGCGTGGCCTGGTACTAAAAAAATGAATTACTCTAGGAAGTGAATTTGGCAGTTTTGGTGCCACCCAGCTACCCATACTATTCTCTTTACTGTAGGTAGTTAATGCTATCCCAATAAGAGGGGATTACAATGCTCAGAATTCACAGCTTGCATAATCTTAATAATTTACTAATATTATTGGGGAGTAGCGGTTCTAGCTCTTGATTGCTGGTTTAGTTTGGCTCTTCCCATTTTAATCCCAGGATTTGATAGGATAGCCTTCTCCAACCTGCTGCCACATCACATGTCAGACAATATCATTCTAATCTAGAATGACTGCTTGGAGGGGACTAGGTCGATAACAAATGCTTTAAAGAGGGAAATGAGCCAGAAGACTGAAATGGTCTTGCTCTTCCAAAACTGTAGCTGCTGATGCCTTAGTTTTAATTAGTTTTATTTTTTGTCCTTGCAGTTAGAAACTAAGACTGGGAAAGGTCCAGCAGAACGTGCTCTTTCTGAGTGGAAAACTGCTCTGAAGAGGGAAAGGGAAGAGCATCAGCATCTCCTAGCTGAATCATATAGTGCTGTTATGGACCTGACCAAGCAACTTCAAATCAATGAGAAGAACTGGGACCAAGAAAAGCTGGAACTTTTGGATCATTTTAAGGATGAACAGCAGCAGGCAGAGCAACAGGTGAAAGAACTGCAGAACAAAATTAACCAGGTAGGAACCAAAAATGAGTGTGAAATTTGTCTTGTCCTCGTAGCTCATTTCTTCTTCTTCTAATAAGTGTGATTTTAATACCGCATACTGGACAAGAAGTCATGTGTCTTTAAGAATATGCATAGCCCAAAATGGCTTCTTGAGTTCAAATAGCTGTTTAGCATTGGAGTAGTAATTCAAATTTTTTGGATTTCTACTTTTTGTCTTCCTATTCTTAGGATTGTTGTGAGGAGGCAAACCACATGATCCCTATTAGAAAAAGGGCAGGATGAAAATACTGTGTACATAACAACAGACAATGGCAAGGAGCCAGAGCAGGCATCTCTGTGCTCTGTGCTAAAAATAAAGTAAATCTAAGTATCCAATTCTTGTGAGATCACACAAAAGAATGCCAAAACGCTACATACATTGGCTATATAGATTGCCAGGTGCACTTTCAGTGAAATGGCTGTTTTTCATGACATACAGTAGTTAACTTAGTTCATCAATCCCCTTTTTACAGCATATGCCAGTAGTACATATGATAGATGCATAGGGAAACCAGGAGTTCTTCCATCTACCTCAAAAACAGCTAAGAGAATGTCACTTCCTAAATATTTTTTTTAACATTACCAAATGACTAAAGTAAAAACCCTATGGTTGACTTGCTTGGAGTTGGCAGCTCCATGGACAAAGTTGGGAGAGGCTTACTTCCTCTTTCTGAATCTATCTGATATGCCATCTCATCCTTCTAGTGGTGAGCTGTGTGTGAAAAAGATAGCAGAGAGAGAGAGAGAATCAGAGTTCCTAAAGCAGTTTTGATTTTGCCAAGTCAGGAGGTCTCTGCAGATATTGTTAAAGCAGATAAGAATATGAAGGACAAATAAGTGCTCAGGAGCAGGCTGAGCATTTGTTAACTTTGTTTTGTAAACTATTCAGCTTCAGAAAGGTGCCAACCGATGGGCCTTAAAAGCCTCTGAAATGGAGAAGCATGGTGGTAGCTGGAAAGAGGTAAGCTGAATAAACATTACTTTATTCTAATTACAAGATCTATAAGAAGGACCAATATTGGGTTTATTATTATGATTTAGAGGCTGCCCAGTTCTGGATGGCATACCCTTTAAAAGCAGGAAACATTAAAATAGGAGTACAAATCATATGCATCCAGAAGAAAAAGGCATACGTGAGTAATAAACAGAAATCGTATAGGACTCAATAACCAATCCCAAGACCTGGGAGAACAACCAGTTTTCAATCACTTTCTGAGCCTTTTAAGTGGGAGCCTTATAGTGTTGTTCTAGAGTTGGATATCAGCTGTAATCATAGGCTGGAAATAAAGAGTAGGTAATGATCACATTCAGAGATGTGAACTTGCTAATGTCTTTTGACTAGATCCAGGACTAGATAGATCTTAGTGTGATCCAGCAAGCATGTAAAGTTTAAGATTCTTTCTAAGAAACAGATAACATTTTTGCAATTCTGGATCTCTGGGTTATACTTCCATTACTGATGTGGTTCATAATTATTATAAGGAAGAAAGCATCCTGTGTCTTAGAACTCTTTTGATTATTTAAAGGCAAACAAGTAAAGTTTTAAATTCACATAGAGAACTGATACGACTCTTATTTTATCTGAGTTTCTCCCTTCCTGACACAAAATCATAAAAGCACAGTTGATAAAACTTTTTTAATGTTTTTTCAGACCCTCAATGAGAAAATCACTGACAAAGAGATGGCTTCTGAAATTGATATCAAAGGAAGTAATTTAAAAAGGTAGGATAACTGTTGACAGCTGACCAGTCTATTTTTCAGTGGACATTTACATTTCATATTCAAAAGCATATTTTAAACAGAAGATGTAGTGCTTTTATTATTTTCTGTGCACCTAAGAATCTGTGTCTTATTCTGACACCATCAATAATTTGTATATTAGCATAAAATACCATTTTTGTGATTAAAAGAAAGTGGCATCTTACCAACAACCCAGAGCATGGTAGTGCTTTTATTCTGTTCTCATGCTGAAAATGTCATTTTGATGATGACACTGTTTTTAAATACAGAATTATTAATAAAAGCACTGAGTTTTGTCATTGGCAAAATAGCATAAGGCATGAGAAATTGAATCAGGTCTGCAAATTCTATCTACTTTCTATCCATTCCACAACACCTATTTTTGCTACATCCTTAGACATGTTAAAAGATTAATTGGAAAATGACAGGGAAACTGACAGAATTGACAGGAAAAAAAGTAGACACCACGTAGGTAGGACACATAAAATTCTCAGTCCAAAAGTTAGGTTGTTACTCATTGCTTTCTCTTGTCTATTTAGGACAAAGTCAGTTTCCTCCATGTCTGAATTTGAAAGTTTGCTTGACTGCTCTCCTTATCTTCCTGGCAAAAGCAGCACTGTGATCATAGACAATGCCCACAGCAGAAAAGGATCTCCAACTACACAGAAGTTGCCAGAACCTACTGGGATCACTTCTGAGAACTTTGCTTGTGTGAACAGTAAGGAACCTACACCCAAGACCCTGGCTTCAGAGAAGCTGGATGCTTCCCCTTGTGAATGCATTCAGACAAATGACTTACCTACATTGGAACAGACCCAGAAACAAATGCAGAGGAGTTATACAGCTCCAGACAAAACTGGGATCCGCATATACTATAGCCCACCTGTCGTACGAAGGTTGGAACCTCCTCTAATGCACAACAGAGACGAGAAGATCATGGTTGAGCCTGGTTTTCTATTCACAATGGCTAAGCCCAAGGAAGAGTCAAACAGCTCAGAAAACATGTATAGTCGATGGTTGTGTAACTTTTCCAAGCAGCATCGGGAATTACTTGATGGCAGTGCTGTTAGTGAGAAAGCTGTAGCTCCAGTGTCCAAATTCCCACCATCCCTGCATGACCTTGAAATTTCTGGCAACATGAGTGATGACATGAAGGAAATCACCAATTGTGTTCGTCAAGCTATTCGTTCCAGTTCCCTTGAAAGAAAGGTTAAGAGCACCTCTAGCCAGACAGTGGGATTGGCCAATGTTGGTACCCAGACTACTCAGACAGTCAGTATTGGCTTGCAGACAGACATACCCAGAGGAAGCATCCACAGTAGTAAGAGCTGGTCTCCACGAAGTTCCTCCCTTGTGTCAGTGCGTAGCAAGCAGATTTCAACATCTCTGGACAAAGTCCATTCCAGGATTGAACGGCCCTGTTGCTCTCCCAAATATGGTTCTCCCAAACTCCAAAGAAGATCATCATCTAAGCTGGATAATTCCAAGGACCGAAGCTTGTGGAACCTCCATCAGAGTAAGCAAAATGGCTCCGCCTGGGCTCGGTCCACCACTACTAGAGACAGTCCAGTTCTAAGCAACATTAATGATGGCTTGTCTAGCTTATTCAATGTTGTGGAGCATTCTGGGAGCACAGAGTCCATATGGAAGCCTGGATGCCAGGAAAGTAAAGCCAAGCCAGAAGCACCAAAATATGGAATAGTGCAAGAGTTTTTCCGGAATGTGTGTGGTAGAACTCAAAGTCCCACTTTGGTTCCTGACAAGAAAGACCCAGTTGGAGGGGACAACAGTAACAAGAAGCCAGAACCTTCCTCAGCAATGCTCCAGCTTTTGGAAAACACCTCCAAAAAAACTACAAAGCAGAGCTGCAATGAGGAACCAAAGCTCTCCAGTCTAAGCCAAGGTGGCAAGGACAGAATCTTAAAGGAAGCTGATGCTGTTTCTGCTACTATTGCCAATGAGGTAATATTTATTACAATATATGGAATATATCTCTTAATAGCAGAAGCAAATGAGTTTCTAGCCCCCTTCCCAATGAATTAAAGTATAGCATAGGATATTTTCCATCCACTAACAATGTGAAGGCCAAAACACAAAGATGTCAATGGCTTTCATAATATTTTGGTGTACACTGCACAGTAGTTAAAAAAAATTCAGATGAGCCTGGCAATCATATCTATCTAGGACAGTGGTTCTCAACCTGTGGGTCGGGACCCCATTTGGGGTCGAACGACCATTTCATGGGGGTCGCCAAACAATGCAGTCCGCCATTTTTTCCCCCTTTTCCTTAGCTGTGCTACTCCCTTTTATTCTATTGGCTTTTGAAAGCCAATAGAATAGACTCTCTTGAATAGAGTCTAATTCTATTGGCTTTCAAAAGCCAATAGGAATTGTCCAGGCTGTCTCTGCCCTGCTGAGCCCGCCAAAAGTCCCATTCTGCAAACGGTGCTGCACCAGTTGAGTAGTCGTCGACTTACGACCGGTTGAGTAGTCCTCGACTTACGACCGGTTGGGGGTCGCGGCATTAAAAAGGTTGAGAACCACTGGTCTAGGAGGCTTGTGGAAGATACTTATTCTAACTGCATGAAACCAAGGAATGTATTAATATGTACCTTTGACACTTCACTTTTTTCCAGATCAGGATTAATTTATAGTCTGGACCAGGGATCTGCAATCTTGACAACTTTAAGACTTGTGGACTTCAGCTCCCAGAATTCCCAGAATTTTGGGAGCTGAAGTCCACAAGTTTTAAAGTTGCCAAAGTTGCAGACCCCTGGTCTAGACATTGATTTCAATAACTACTCTTCTTTCATGCAATGTCTGTTTTAGGAATGATTACCAACCACAGGCAAGTGATTACCAATAACCTGAAGTAAAGTCTAAGTATCAGGCATACTTAAATTAGAGGTTGGGCATACATTGCACCCTTAATTACCTTTTATATATTACATTTTTATTTGTCCAGAATAATTTAAATATACAAATCTTTGACAAATAGATCTAATTTCATACTGGATGTATGTGATGAGATAAGAATATTGTAGTAAGCCTTACTCTTTACAGTTTTTACCTATTTCTCCTCTGCGCTTCCTTGCTATATCTATCAATTTTTCTAGCTGGGAAGCCTACAGAATCTCTTGGTAGTGCATTAATTTCTCTCTCTTGGTACACTGCTACCTTCTATTTTGCTTCGGGGTTACCTTTATTTCCTCCCAGCCTCTCCTGGACTACCTCTTAGATTAGATACTAATTAACATCTAATTAGTACTAGATTAGATACTGTCTACTATCAGTTGGCTTACATGTATGTTCCCAGCAACTCAACAGTGAGAGGAAAGTGGTTTCTAAAGAGCAATGCTGGAAATTAGCAAACAGTAAACACAAAACAAGACAAATTTGTACACAATGAAAATAGGAAAAGTGTATAGAGCTATAAATATCAACTTCAGCACACACACACAAAAATAAACTTTACATAACTTAGCTTCATAAATTCTTTCATAAAAAATGAATATTCAGTTATAGCTGACAAGTTTTTTCACCGAACAGTTCTATCTTTCTTTTGCCAAGAAAAGGGAAACTAACTTTAATGGCTATAAGTAGTTGAGTACAACAGGCCTCAGTATGATGTAGATGAGAGCATGAACACAGAATCAGAATACAAATTCCTGCATAAAGGAATTTACTGCTATGGGTAACGTGAAGATTCCTGCTCTTAACCACCATCTCAAGTCTTCATCTGAACCTGTTCTTTTTCCACTTAGTATTTTTTTTCTCTTTATAGGATATTGCTTGTGATTGCAGCTCTCAGTCCTTGACTTCCTGTTTTTCTCGGTCATCACGTTCAACTGTCCGACATTCCCCTTCTAAGTGCAAATTGCATCCCCCTGATGGCAGCCGGGTGGAGGAGAAAATAGGGTCCTCAAGTGAGTGAGAGGATCTACAACTGATGACGGAAGAACCAGTCTGCCCTGAAGCTACCAATCTCTTTGGCAGTTCTAGGACTGGCTGTTCCTGAGCCAGCCACAGCTGAGGAATGTTGCTCTTTCATGGTTGGAGCAACAGCTTCTGTCTTCTTGTAGCTCATTGAGGAGATCTGACATACAGAACCTATATGGCATAGCCAGGGACAGAATGAAAATCTCTCGTCTCTGGAAACCTTTCTATTCCTAATTGGCCACTCACAACAGGAATTTGAGCAGTGAGAGTTGAATGCTGTGCTGTGGTTCATGACGTTGGATGTTTGGCTGCCTGCGAATGGGTTTTATTTCCCAATTCAAGGAGATGCCTTTTTTTCATTTGGGAACGGCATTATGGGAAAAGGCATCAGGGAATATTGTGAGCTGATATATTGTGCTGACTGGACTGCCTGCTTAGTCTGTAGGAAAAAAAACCATCAGAGATTAAGAGGTGCTGCTTTCAAGAATCAGATGCTTATAACAAGGGGGTGGGGGGGGGAGAGAGAGAGAGTGAGAGAGAGAGAGAGAGAATAAGCAAGCTGAACACAGATCAATTCTGTTTTGTCATTATATTAGGATGGATAGCTTTCCTCAGGCACAATCAGTATACAACACTATTAAGCCTCATACCCAGCCTGCATTATGCTAGATACTGGCCACATAATTTTAATCTATTGTAGTGGCACCAGCAGTCACACCAGGTCTCAGTAAAAAAAAAAAAAAAAGTTTGTGTGTGTGTGTGTGTGTGTGAGAGAGAGAGAGAGCGAGAGAGAGAAGATCAGGACATTTTATTGTCCATTTTTAGCAATCTGCAGCAACCACCAGCACCAGGGAAAACATGGCGCACCTTGCTTTCCTGGCCCTATGCATCAGACTTCCTTTGACAACTGAAAACGGAGATGGATTTTCATCTTTAGGTAGCAGATCTTTTCTCTTTAGTTTAAAACAAGTATTAGTCACCGTTTCTGTGCTTGAATGGCCAGACTATGGGTAACTCTAGGAAATTTAAAACCAAGAAATGCTGAAACTTCCATGTCTCCACACGGCCTTATTTCCCTAATGCAGATGATGGTGCTATATAGTTCTTAAGATAAAGTATTTCAATTTTTTTCTTGTGGAAATGTCAGTATCTTTGATCCACAGACTTCTATATTTTAAGGTGTGGGTATGAAATGACAAAATGCAGACCTGAATAAGCACAGGCCTGATGAAACATTCCAGATTCTTGGGACAATTGCATGCAGCTGTTCACCTTAGGACAGGACATCTCACAGTCATCTTACCTAACTCTCCATTCACTAAACAAGGGGTCCCCAACCTATAGGCTATGGCCTGGTCCCAGGCCATGGGCTCTTGGCCAGTAGGCCTCAGAAATAGCTGGCCAGTGCACGCATGCATGGACGTGCATTCCCCCCACTCACGCTAGCGCCCGTGGCCCATTTGCAGGTGTGCATGTGTGTGAACAGGAATGGGAATGCTAGCAAATGGCAGGTATCCATGGCCAGTTTGCGCATGCACGAATGGGGGCGCTAGCCTGGGTGAGCCGCTAATCACCGCCGGGGGTGCATGGCCATTCACACATGTGCATGGTGCCAGAGCATGCTGCATGTGAATGGGGCTGCTAGTGCTACGCCAGTGTGCGTGGCCCCTTGTGCATGTGCACCAATTTTGAAGCTGCTCTCCGTCCCTCCGGTCCATGAGCCTGGAAAAGTTGGAGACCTCTGCACTAAACAACCTATTGCCTAGTATATCCTTACGTTCCTTTTCTGCAGAGGATTAAGACAGAAGGAGAAATATGAAATATCTGAATTTGTAGCACAGTCCTGTTAATGCAGACTCATGTAAGTCTTCTTTAGGGTCCCTAAAACAAAAAGAAGGCATTTGGTGACCTCAGTACAGGTAGTTCTTGGTTAATATCTGTACCTGGGATATTGGAATTTCTATTGCTAAGCAATGTGTTTTAAAGCGCAACATCACATGACATTGCTTAGCAACAGCAGTTCTGGCAGTCCCTAGTTACCATGGTTAAGCAAAGATCTCTTGTGGGAAGCAGAAAAGGAAGGCTGCAAATCATGAACATGTGAATGAATGAAACTTGCAATGTCAGAAATCTGGGCTGATTGCTGAGCACCTGGATCGCAATCATATAAATGTGGGGGTGTTGTGCCAGCCACAACTTCAGTTACAACTACCATTTGTTGTCGCAGGTTTCAGTGGTCACTGAACCTGTATCACAAACAGCTTCCTTTTGTGTAATCCCATCACTTTGTGCAGTAGAAGCGAAAGGTAGAAATTTCTTCTTTGGATGGAGAGGGAGAGAACCAGCTGTACCAGCATTCTGTTACATGAAAATACAACTTGTGGGCAGTTTGATTTCTTCTGTATATTACAACAAGGCAGGATAAAGATTGCACAGCATACCTTATGGATTCTCTCTAGCCCTTTTATTAATAGTTCTGCTCCAAATCGTTTGACTGGAGGAGGTCACGGCCTTAGAATGGAGGAGTTGGCAACATGAGCTGCCCCAAGTTGTGGATGAAGGTGGGAAGTCACACAATTCTTTTAAATAAATACATTTTAATCAAGCAAGCAACTTAAGCTGCTCCCTAAGTGCCTCTCCCATTAGGACACATTTGGGGAATTTCATCAACCAGTGCAAACCAGCTCATTTTCAAACCCTTCTGCTGGCTCCCCACCCACCCCAATTTGGTCTTACTATGTTCCATTTTCAGAGAGCCTGGAGTAGAGTGGACAAAATCTGCATTGCTCTTACGTAATTTCTCTCTACTATTTCAAATATCCTGCATATAGAAAGCTGTATGTCAGTGGAAATTTTAGAATAAAATTCTCTCCTGACTTGACAGCTATTGCAAATATGGGAACTTTTGGTTTGAAACAGTTTTCTAAACATGCTGCAATCCCCAATTGCTTTCACATGAAAAAGGACACATTTGCTCATTTCTTACAGAACTGCTCTTGAATAGAGATGTAGTCAAACCATGATTGGTTAACTTACAGAGAAGAAGAAAAAAACATTTTTCTGGCTTTTCCCATTACTAATTGAGATATAGCTTTGGGAAATCTAAAACTAAGTTGCCTTTCAAAATCCTAAATCATTGCAAACACTTTCTAATGCTCTTCTTCTAGAAGTTGTGCAAATTTTGAATGATTCTCAGTACATTGCTTCATTTATATCTTGCACTTCATATTTTTAAATTTTTACTTTACTATGAGCAAATGACTTTTGTCATTTGCATGACAAAATTCAGGAGTTTTTAGTCCAGTTCACTGTCAAAATAATTAGAATTTTAGGAATTAAAATTATTAATGGGTTGCTCTGGGGGGGGGGCATGCCTGGTAAATATTTGCAGTCAAAATGGCATAAAAACCCACTCTAAAGTTTCTGCAATTTAACCTGGATTTTGTAAGATATAAATGATGCCGAACCTATTTATTTATTTTACCTAGTTTATTCTCAAGTAGAAGCCCAATGGGAGGGTTGTGTATTGGAAAGTAGGGCCTCTTTCTTAGCTCTTGGAAAACTCTGCTGAGCCAATTGTCTGTCACCTCAGAGTTTCCAGGATCACCCATTCCATTATCCACATCTTTCAAGCATGTCTTCACTTCCTCAAAGACTTAGACATTCATTGCACTGAACATCCATTTCAACTGTACCCTTAATAGGAATACCAGACCACAGTCCAAACAAGGATAATGATGGAGATTGTTTCATCAGATATTTGCCCCATTTTGCATTTCTCTCTGAGAAGCAGTCCCTAATAGCTAAAGTGGAGTGTGTATTTTGTGTATTTTTCTACTACAAAATCATTTTTGAGACTTGGAATTCTATGTGAGTTAGATTCTCAGATAACATCAGGGCAGTTGTTTTGGTTCTCCTGAATGTTCTACAGTAATCCGTTCTGCAATTCCCTGCCCCCACCAAATATTAACTGAAAGAGAGGAAGACTCAATTCATGCAGTAATTTAGGAACAGATTGTTCTTCTGAAACTCCGTTAGGGGTATCTAAGAGTTTTCTTGCTTAGTTTTTGGCCACTGATGGCTACCTATTCTTCTTGCAGTTTACTTTCCTATTTGGACTCAAAGGTCTAGGTTATTGTTCCTAATTAGGAAGGTACTTTAGAAAGTGTAATCTGCAGCTTCAGCTGTGTATATTGTCTCAGAAATAAGTGGATGTCATGGAATTTACTTGTGAGTAAATTTACTATATTATAGCTGAAGATGAAAAATGGAAACAAAATAAGTAGGGAATTTGACAAATTCATACCAGGTAGCATGAATCTTGAATTCAAGCAGAAAGGTGAAATTAACTTGGTTAATCTGTTTCTAGCTGATATCTTTATTATTCCAGGACCCTGCCTATCGTTGGTCAGACTCACTTAACAGTAGTAGAAGGAAAAAAGAAGCTACAACCAATCAACTGTGTTTCATTTTTTCCTCCAGCCATTATCTGTCTTTAAACATATATTAATCATGATGTTTATTTGGTATTTAAAAGTAACTCTTCAATCATGCTTTCTAATTGAACAGCTTATGTTCTGGAGAGAACTATAGCTGAGGAATTCCTTTATAACACTGAAAGAGTTTCTTTAAATAATGACAAACTCTAAATTTGCATAAGGGTTGATGAACCAGATAGAAGATAACTAAAATGATGGATTTTCAGATGTAGAACAGCTAGCAGCAATATTGCACATTAGTGCATAAATTAACATTTTTCTCAGGGAAGGCAACCAACTCCTAATATCAAAGTGGGAGATTCTTTCAAAAGATTAGAAAGGGTATTGAGGGGAATCCAAATAAAAGTAACACTGCCAAATGCCTTTAGGTATCTTTGGATAAAAGTCAGTGTTATTTGCAATGGATGCTGCAAGTCATTGCCAGTTAAACAGTAGTGACCTCATGAGCATCCATGGGGAGGGAGGGTCAAAGAAAAGGCAAGGGATTAAACTGCAAACATTGCAACCTAACATATTTTTATCAGATATTGGACTGCAAGCACCATCCCAGTGGAATTTGCATCAAGGTTTTCATTGTGGCTTGCTAAACTGTGCTAGTAAGCATGTAACGCTCCCTAAGGAAACCACCAGCATTATGTTGCTTACACTCTAGTTCCTGTTTTACCTTAATTGCATTCACGTGCAAAATAATGTGATATTTTCTGTATCTAACTTAAAACATAAATAGCTTTGGATATTCTGAAATGAATTTTTATTGAGTACTAGAAAGCAAAACCAGAATAATGTGCAGCTAATGAGGAATAGTGGGCCAAATCCAAGGGAATTGCATCAGAGAAGAACTTCAAGTTCATGATCCTATATTCTCCAGTCACATGAGATTCATTATATTGGTATTTAAGTCTTGAGGGCTACAGGCTTACAGCTCAATCTAATTAGCTTTAATACAAATGAACAGTTATCTCCTGTACCTGGGTAGCTGAGGAAAATTCTTTGGCAGGCCAGCAAGTTCCATGCAAATCTCACACCTATGGCCTTGTTCTTTATCTACGCCCAGTTGAAGGTATGTTCTAATTGCTACTAGAAATCTAATAGCTATTGACACCTAGGCTGAACCTTCTTCACCAAGCGCCTACTGTTCCAGGAAAACAATGATATTGTCCACCTAGTTCTTAATGTTGTTTATCCACATACAATACTGGGTGGAGGCTGGCCCCATTTTCATATGAAGTACAGCACACAAAGCGGACACTAGCAACTAACCAATAACAACCCAGCCTAGATAGCTTTTCTAGGGCAGCCTCTTTCTCTTTGCTGCATGAATTTGTAAATCGGGGAGCAAGGGATAGAATTTACAATGATTGCTAACTTGTGGTGTAAATATTTCTTTTGGGGGTGGTTTTTAGTGTTTTCATTGGGAACCTCTTTTTTACTTCTACTTTGGGGACTGTTTTTTCTGTTTGTTTTTGTTTTTATTTTTATCAATGCCTTTTAATTATTTGTAAATTTTAAAACTTTGTCTTATTTTGTAAATAATTGTTCTGAATATTTCTGAATATGGAGTTAATGGAACCTGAGACATTTTTGTCATTTACAAGTAACAACCCTGTGCCTCAGACAAGATTTGTTTAGCATCCCTTTTGCCAATAAAGTCTGAATCACCAAGACGTCTTGATGCTTATTCCAGTTGCACGTTGCTTTAGCCTAGTTGATGGAAACCTGGTGACCAAAGGCATCCAAAGATGTAGACAGTGTGCCACCCAAACTTTTTCCTGGAATGCCCTTGTCATTCCCTGATTCTCAGAAAAATCAGGAACGCATCTACACACGATAGCCATTCTATCCCACTGTCCTATCAAAATGGCATAGAGATAATTCGGTTACCAGATTTCTTCCCTAGCCAGGAGATTAAGTCAATCATGTCCTATTTTTCTGCACCCCACTCTCCAAGGAAGGATGTCTGTATCTGAAGGTGTTGAAATGTCTCTGTTTTACACCTACCTTAGATCTCAGTTCACAGCTTCGTTTTCTGTACCTGAATGTGCAAAAAGAACGCTTGCTAAACTCCACATGTATATTCTATTGAAAGGTGAATTGGATTCATTGAAATGTATTTGTCCATTGTCCTATTTTCATTTTCACACCTCTAAGTACTGTATGAATACCTTTCATTTGTGCCCGAGTGAGTATGAAGAGAAACTAATTTCAAGCTGAGTTTTGTGTAGCCAAGCCTCCGGGACTTGTTAAATCTTAAATCAGGCACTTTTAAAAGGCAACCCAAGTGCTGAAGAAGTGCAAACTTTAAGATATTTTCCTGCTTTTTGTTACCTCCCTGTTTTTCTTCCTTCAGAGCACCACATGCATATGGAAACCCTTGGCGTAAAAAAAATGGGAATGCATTATTTAGTGGACTGAATCAAATTACAGACTTCTGAGGTGGCTTTTAATTAATGAGAGTGAAAATAGTGCACTCAAAGCTTTGTGTTTGCTCTTGAAAGCAAGAAAAACAGGAAGGTAATAACAAGCAGTTATTACTGCTTGTTATTGGGTTGCCTTTTAAAAAGTGCCTGATTTTATTTTTGCTTTCCAGGCTCTCATTTTAAATACATAAAGATACCACTCTAGTGTAATTTTAAAAACATGTTGTCTCCTGAGCCTGTCTAACGAAAGAAAGCATCTGGCTATCCAATTTGTCCCATGAGAGCTTTGCCATACTTCAAAATGTCTAGCATGAATTATGTTGCCAAGAACTTATCCCATTTCACACACACATATGTGAAAAAATCATAAAGAATTTATGGCAAAAATGTGCTTTGGAACAGAAAGGACACAAACTTACACTTGTCTGCAACATTTTAAACCAAACTGGCTTTTCCCAGACTCATGTGACAGTGTAGATAAAGTTGCACAATTGCAGGAAAAAGCATGCCCTTTGTGCTTTTGAATCCAAAATTTTGGACAGCCATAGTAACTTAACATAGGCTCAGTTGTTTGCTAGCTTGAACATTCAATTTTTCCCTGCACACAGAAAAAAATGCTTAACCTCAGCCTGTTGATATTGGGTAGCTTTTCTTCTGGATTTTTATTTTGACATTAAATGTTGCCATAAATCTATGTCACAGCAGGCAGAACACTGGCTTTCTGATTTAACTTTCCTCATCTGATCAAAAGAAACCCTGATCAAAAGAAACATTGCTCTTCCTTGGATTCAAGTTGATTATTTAACCATCACCTATATTTGACTGGCAGCCTTTGTGTATGTTTGTAGAAAGCATTTATTGTGCATGTGTCATTTACACAAAGTTATGTTATGTTTTGCCCCACTCTATAAATTATTCGTTGTTCATATTCTCATGTAGGAGGCACTCAGGAATTTGTTTCTCTGTAGAAAGCCAGTCTTAAAATTAAACTCTGTCACTAGTTCTAGCAGTTGGAACTGATGCCATACAAGGGAGTGTGCTTTGAGTACAAAGTACTAGCCCCATCAAGTGTGAATGGTATGTACATATACAATTTGATATGCACTCTGCAAAAACTTGGATGTTACAGCTCCATTTTCAGAGATTAAATACAGAGTAAGAAGAGACACTGGATGACTTTTGTGGTTTCCTTCTGATTAACAGTAGCATAAAGGAGGAGCATCTCTGTAGAAAATTCCATGTGAAGGCAAATATACTGTACATGTCCTAGTGTAATGTTGCAGGATCCAATTTGAGTCAATCACCAGGACCAAAAATTTAGTCTTCTGAGCTTTTGGACCCATGCTGAAGCCCATCCTTAGGGAACTTCTCTCTCTCCAGAACGTGTGCATTGGGCTGTTCTACATATGTTTAGTGTTTATGGGCTGTTCTGTATGTAGTAATTGGAATGTTGATGGTGGATATTAAGTCATTAGTTGTTGCTTCCTTGTGTACAGCAAACACTCCAATTAACAACTAAAGACACAAAAAACCAGGCACTGATATGAGAAGAAAGCATAGATTAAAACAACAATATAACGGCAAATTTAACAAAATTATAACATGAAAACAAGTGGAGAGTTTTTAAATTTTTAAAGGCAGGACAATGTAACAGATGGAAACTTATCAAAGAGAGATCTAACCTAGAATTAAGGAGGCATTTCTTGTCAGGGAGAACAATTAATCAGTGAAACGGCTTTCTCTAGAAGTTGTGGGTGTTCCATCACTGGAGGTTTTTAAGAAGAGATTGCACAGCTATTTATCTGGAATGGTATAGGGCAGGGGTAGGCAACCCAAAACACTCAAAGAGCCACTTGGACCCATTTCCCACTGAAAACAAAACACTGGGAGTGGCAAAACCTTTTTGATATCTAAAATGAAGCTAACACTGCATATATCCTTTTTTACCTTTATTATAGGTGTATGTACAGATCAGAATAACAGAACTGGAAGGGACCTTGGAGATCTTCTAGTCCAACCTCCTGCTCAGGCAGGAAAGCCTATACCATTTCAGACAAATGGTTATCCAGTCTGTTCCTAAAAACTTCCAGTGTTGGAACATTCACAACTTTTGGAGGCAAGTTGTTCCACTGATTAATTGTTTAAGTGTCAGAAAATTTCTCCTTAGTTCTAAGTTGTTTCTCTCCTTGATTACTTTCCACCCATTGCTTCTTATCGTGCTTTCAGGTGCTTTGGAGAATAGCTTAACTCCTTGTGCTATCTGTGCTATAGATTCCCTAATAAGAATAAGGACAATGGCAGTCAGTCTACTTAGTATTCTGATGCTCTTTTATGCACAACAAGATCTGTTGCCTGCATCCCATTAATTTGGAGTCACATGCAGTGCCATTAAATAATAATAGTTGTGAGAATATCTAACATAATAGAAAGCCAATTATACACTATATTCTATTTTTGTACATAGAGCAATATAAAAGTAGAATCAAATAGCTCACTTTATTTTATATGTAAAAATCTATTCTGAAACAGTCAGGTATGGAGTAGTTAAATAATAAGTTTGTTTGTGTAGAGAAGTCATTGACTTATAGTTAGCTTAAATCAGTGATTCTCAACCTTTCTAATGCTGTGACCCCATAATACAGTTCCCCATGTTGTGGTGACCCCCAAGTGGGTGTGGCCACCAATAAGAGGGAGTAGGACAGCTAGGGAAAAGGGAAAAAAAATGGTGGACAGCATGGTTTGGCGACCCCCGTGAAATGGTCATTCGACCCCAAATGGGGTCCCGACCCACAGGTTGAGAACCACTGGCTTAAATAGTTACTGTAGCTTGTTACTTAGCAAACTATTTAAGGTATGAAAGATTTTGAGACCACGAAGCTCCTATTTGAACTGATTTATTGCCTCCTGGCTGGAATATATGTGGGAAAGGGATGATTCCTTGATTATATGAATATATGCTTTCTTTCTTCTTTTGATTTATTATGACATAAACTGTCAAGATAGCATGAGGAAGATGGTAAAGAAATGGGAGACAACATCTGGAAAAACTTCAGAGGCTGCACCAAATCCCTTGGAGGTTGTTGTATGGCCTGCAGGTCATAACTTGTGCACTCTTGATTTGAGCATCCTCTTGGGTGCATGCATTCCATGTACTCTTATCCAATGCACAATACGTCATGTAGTTTAAGTTGCAAATTGTACTTTATGTACAATTTTATCATGTAATTTATAGGTATTATAAAAGTTTTGTCCTTAGTGTTTATGCTACTTTCCTAAAAGAGACATTTTTGATAATACATTCAAAATAATAGATAAAAATAACATACATACCTAATTTTGTTCAGTAATTAGACTGTGTTCAAAGGCAAACAAATATTTTAATAGATCTTAGTGCAAGATAGATGTGAAAGACTTCCTTTGAAGCTACATCACAACCCGCCAAACCTCTTGTTTTTCAGTTAAAGTATGAAGGCACTGCTGTTCACTGTTATCTCCTAATTCGGGTCATAGACTATTACATTATTTGTAACAGTCAATTCTGCACTTGGAATTTTCAATAAGCAACATTCCTTCAGAATCGTCTACTATTGAAGACATTATTATGTCTAGATTGGTTGGGTTGCTCAGTGGCTGATGGAGATATAATATTAGCTAAAGCAGGTTTATATAAACAAGACCAGTTCTTCTCAACTTGTCCTGTAGAAAACCCATCTATTCCTTTCCCAGCTTCTTTATCTTTGGATATGTATGATTGAAAACATGCGGAGAGCACCAGAGTAAGGAAAACAGAATTACACATTATAGAAGCCAATCACAGGTTATTACATCTGTTTCATAAATAGCCATAGATCCTTTTCATGCCTTTAATCAGTTTCTGGATGCTGACAGATCATAAATGAATATTCAGTCTTTGGTGAAAACTACTTCAGTCCTGTCAGAGACTTGTCTCTGTGGTTATTAAAGAATATAATGACTGGGTTTGCACATCAGGCTATTTTGTAGGAGAGGGTAGAGTGGCTTTGATTCAATCTTGACTCCTGGTGACCACATGCACAAATCCATGGGCTTGTCTTGGCAATATTTTCAGAAGTGGTTTTCCATTGTTTCCAAGCTGAGAGAAAGTGACTGACCCAAAGTCACCCAGTTGGCTTTGTGTCTAAGGCAGGACTACAAGTCAGTTTCTAGTCTGATGATTTTAATGACTACACCAAACTGGTTCTTAAGTCATTGTGTGACTTATTGAAT